TGGTAGGGTTGATTTTGTGCCTGCGTCTCCGCAGACGATATCTTCTAGTCATCTGACAGGCAAAGTCGCGTGAAGAGATTGGCTGTACTTCCGCACTCGTTTCGCATCTGTGTGCAGACATCCTCGAGAAGGTCATCGGATTTCTTGTAAAGAATCGTCGACAGGCTTCAGGAAACGGCATTTTCTCAGATACCATCATTTTTTGTAGTTCTCTTTGTTTTCCAAAAATCGCACATTTGTTTCAGTTTGATGGGTGGTCTCCTGTGCAGTTTACACATTTGAGGCCGGATTTGCTTGCAGAGTTGTGGCACTCTTTGGCGCAGACCACACAGATCACATGGCGCTGCCTATGTAGCATTGGTGGGCATGGCCGAACCTCTGACGCTTGAACCAGTGCATGAGGTTCGGCACATACTGCAGGACACGCAGATTATACTAAGCCGAGTTTCGTTGACTTATCACTTTCTTTGCAGAAAAATCATTCCAGATCGACGTTTCTTTCAGTCTCCACATCCTTTGGGAAGAGGGCGGGGAGTTGCATTGAATCCATGGGAAGGGATTTCAATTCATACCCATTGTCCTCTCCCACCATGGTGCCCAACAAGAAGTCACTCCGCTAGAGTGCCAGGGTTGACACGAGGATATAGCAGGGAGTGACCTGCCTTTATTCCCCGCCGCACATTCGCGGGTGGTACCATGACACCCCCCCACTCACCTTTGACTTCAGTCATAGACCTACTCCGAGCCTATTGACCGGGAGTGGGTTAGCTTCACCGCCCGTCTAGCAACGTATCCCTAAGTGCAAAGTAGAAAGTAGTACAAGGAATAGTTGGGAAACAGACAGGTCCCTCAATTGCCAGGACACACATCTCCTCCGACAAGGGTCGCCATGCACGGCAAACACATAGGTGGACGTTCAGCATACAGGGGGGGCAGTGAAATAGAAGGGGTAGAAGAAAGAGACAGTAGTTATCAAAGAACGAGAATGAACAATGGGAGGAAGAAAATGACTTGTGAAACGAAGGGATACTTAAGAGCCCTCTCTGCATCCCCCGTCAGGGGATCAACGGATCTTCAAAAGAAGAAATTTGTCAACGCTGCGAAACATACAGATTCAAAAAAGTCATCGAGAGACTAACATTTCTGTGATGAGGCAGTTCTAGCGTGAACATACAGTGTGTTGGAGAACAACAATTGCGCATTTACAATTTTTGAAAAAGTGAAAATATACGAATGAGGTTGAGTAAAACGCTTTATTATATTATTTGTAAGCATGTTTTCCATATAATATAACTAATATTGTGTATTGTAACTAATGGATGATATTTGTTAGATGCCAAGTGCAAACTGAGAAAATAGCGAACCTGTTATCTCCACGGAATATTTGCTGTAATATTCAATGTTATTAGAGTAATTTCACTTTCGTGTTATTATACAAGCAAACCTGTTGTTCTTTAATCATAATATCGGTACCATTATCCAACACGTTTCATTCTTTTTTTGGACAATAGAAAAGTTTCATTATAATTGTGTAATAAACACTCAAATAAATGCACAGAACTGTTGCAGCCATTTTCATAGTGTAAGTGATTTAACTCTAGATTACAAAGGCTACCTGTACCAAGCGTTGTTACAAAGACATAGTCTGACAGACTACTTTGGGAAAAAATAAAGAAAAACTCTTATTTACAATGAAACACTAAATTTAATGTATTGGACATGTATGACATGGAGTTACAAAATACATTTTAAAGGTTTTATAGAAACACCTAAATAACTTGACTCTCACAGCACACACTCATTGGTGCTGTCCACACATGGCTTTTAAGAAATGTCCGCAGTAGACCCTCGTTATATAGCCGCCGTCCCATTAGATTGCTAAATGATTATACTAGTTGCGCCGTCTGACAGACGACGCCTTTGAAATCTAGGATTAAAATGGTAATAATGGTTTTTATTTTTAACTACAGCTCAGCAATCGAAAACTAGTGGTGCTGCCAAAGTACATACTTTCTCACAATGTTTCCAAACGTTACGCAATATTATATTGAACAATTGATTTGATGTGACATTCGTTTTACAATGAGAACAAGAGAGTTGTAAACTTTTTTTCTGTTTTTGTTATTTAAGGTCGCATCAACTTCTAGTTCATTAGCGACCACTATTGCTTGTAACGGTATGGTAACTGTGAGGATGACACGATATGATGATAGGGGGGTGAAAGGACGAACACAGTACAACCATGCCCGAGGTGGGACTCAAACCCGCGATCCTTCGGTCGGAGATCCTACGCACTAGTCTTAGCGATCCCGGCCACCGGATGAGCAGTTGTAGACGTGTTAAATTGTATATGTAAGGAGAATTGCTTCAAATTATTTTCAATAAAATTTCTGAAATTCTCTAAAGTTCTCTGTGGCAATAGAGTTGTGACATAATTATCCACGAGACAGTCTAGAATCAGAAGCCCTTCCCTCTTTAAAACTCAGTCTGAACCCGACATTTAACCAATTCGGTTACCCGGGTTATATAGAGAATTGGCACTTCTGTAATTGACATAAACGCCGAAGGACAATAATTGATTTGATGGTTCATACGTTTTACAAGTCCAATAGGCATGTGAAAAATTGTTTAAAAATTCAAAACTCGAAAATCACATAGACTTCCAGTTCATTTATCTTGATTAATATTATTTGCGATTAGAATGGTTTTCAATAAAGTTTCGGGAATTCTCAATTATTTTCTGCGATAACAGGAAATTGAAACAAATAATTTTCTCCAACCACGACTCGAACCAGCAATCTTCCCCTCCGAGGAGCTGCGTCCATAAACACCAATTTACCACCTCAGCCACACGAGTAGTTTACGGCTTACACACACTTATGTAACCATAATAATGGTATGGTGGTTTCAGTTCTAGCATCAAAAAACTGAAGAAGTGTCTTTTGAGCGACCAAAGAATGTATCTGGGAATAGAATCAGTCACAACTGAAATCCTAGTTCAGACTAAAGAGATTAGAAAACTAAATACTGCGAGGAAGTCTGTGTCATTGTACAGGAATAGAATCAGTCACAACTGAAATCCTAGTTCAGACTAAAGAGATTAGAAAACTAAATGCTGCGAGGAAGTCTGTGTCATTGTACAGCACCACCAGTTTATTTATTATTTAATTAATTAATTAATTAATTGATTTAAACAGCTAATTTCCACAACAAACTTTTTCTGAGGCAAAAAATCTTCAATTTTGTAGTTTTGAATTTTTTTGCAATTTTCGAAAAAAGCGCTCAATACCCGAAAATGGGACTAGCGCCATATTTACTACCGTCCCTTATTACACATGTAAAGAAAATTTAAGGGAAAAAATGGAGCGGTTGTTGAGAAATATTTTGTTCGTGAATTTCAAGCGCAAGTTACGCAAAAATTACTAGTATTTTCTCTTCAAAAAACTGAACATGCCATTTTTTCTTAGAGGTAATTTTATACAACATACTGTGCATGAGACAAAAACTTAAATCTTCTATTTTGAACTCTAAAAATGTTTTTTTGTAATTTTCGAAAAAAAAAGAGCAATACCCGAAAATGGGGCTAGCACCATATTTCTTACTGTCCCTTATTACATACGTGGAGAAAATTCAAAGAAAGAATTGGAGCGATTTTTGAGAAGAAAAAAATCGTAACTGTTTTAAACCCCAAATTACGCAAAGCTACCAACTATTGTAAAACAATTACTGGATATTTTTTAAAGATCTACTTTTGTACATCAGACTGTGCCAAAAATCTCTATCTTCAATTTTCTAGTTTTTTTTTTTTTTTTTGCGATTTATGAAAAATCGAGGATGTCAACGAAAATGATATCTAAACCATTCTCTTCAACATCCTTCGAACTATTCAACAACAATCAAAATATTTGGAGCCGTTTTTGAGAAAATTTTGAAAATGTGTTTGAGGCTTAATGTGAAGTTGTCTCATAAATCGAAATATCTGTTTTAACTCCGAAAGCCACGGGTTCATTCAAATCGATTGAGAAATATCAATTTTGAAGAAAATCGGCTGAACGGTTTAGGCATTAGCATTGACTTCCGACATTTTCCGTCAAACGATATTTCGGTATGAAGAATCAACAAATCATGGATTCTGGCTACACCACGAGTAAGAGGATTTTTTTAAAATTTAGCAACAGGATTAATCCACTTCTTCGTTACCAGAACCCGGCAATAAGGGTTTTTCGAGCAAAATTTCGGCCTTTTCTGGATTATATAACTTTCTCTTCTTACAAAGAATTCGTAAGGCGAGAAAGTAAAATCTGTAAAAAATCACGTTTTGTGTTTTAAGAAGAACTTTTGAGATTTTTTCAAACCTGTTCCAGGGTCCAAAAAATGTTTCTTTCTGTTAGAATAAATTATTTTGTTATTTTTCATACTTTTTTCAATCAGATAAAATAGTTTTAAGTTGACGAAAAAAATAAATAAAAAACCTTTCTGGCTGAAGATGGGTGTGGGTGATGGTACTGGGGCTATTAGAATTATCGGGGGACCAATGATTTAGGGGAACTTTTTACCATTTTATGCGGGGGGATCCTTTGCACCCCCCTCCCCCGAAAAGATCCGAAATTCCGCCTCTGGTGCAGGATTACAGTATTATTTATCTTAGCAACATTACTTGTCTCTATATTACGTTGTGTTCGTAAAACAGAGGTCATGGACAATGACAATCGTCGTATCAGAAGTTTAAAAAAATAAAATTGAAAAAGCGAAATGCTGACGCCCGTTGCACCGGAACTACTCCAGCAAAGTATCGATAATAGGTAATGGGGAAGATCTAAGAAATTCAATTTCAAACCCGGAACTAGTAGATAATGTACGTGACCTACAGTAACAAACGTGGTAATCACGTACAGTATAATGTTCAAACGATGTTTTAAAGGTTAGAAAATACGTTGCCTGTCTTAAACGTCGAGATCGGAGATTTTAATTACAGTTTCAATGATCATTAGTTCACATACCTTCTCCGAAATTCCCTTTCATACCCTCTAAGATAGGGATCACGGTCCAAGAGCACATTCAATCTTGGAACTTCAACTTCCATAGGATCCAGGGCTGATAACTTTCCACCCATCTTCTTTCATGTGACACTCTCAGCGGTCATTTGAAGGTTTGTTCGAGGCACCACGCTATATGAACATGCAGCCGTGTTGAAATGTGGACTTACCAACTGCATGCGAATATGTGACAAGTTAACACTGTCTTGTTATCATTTGATCGAGAATAAAGATGCCTGATGATGAGCAGTGAAAAATAACAGAGATGAAGGTAAACACTTTATTCGTAATTTATAATAAAGTTTTTTGATTATTTGTACTTTGACACTTGTAACACCAAATCTACATTTATGTCTCGAAATTTGGTACCTATACAATTTATGGTAAGAGATGGGCGACACGAACTTAATAGAAACTCTGAGATCCGTGTTCACGTCAGGAAGGGATATGACAGCTGAAGAATATTTTGCCTCTCAAACTCACCAGTAAATTCTCAGAGTTGGAGCGAAGAACTGCCATAGAAATCAACTTTATCATGGAATCAAACTAGAAAACAAAAAATCCCTAAAACCAAAATGGCAGAGAAGAATCAAGTAGCCCAACAACCCTTGGTGAGGATTGGACATTACACTTTAGGAGCTACACTTGGTGTTGGTACATTTGGTAAAGTGAAAAGTAAGTGCTTTTGATGTATTTAATATGTACAGCAAAATGTAACATACCAAAATTTGGAAGGCCTCATTTCTTTCTGACGACTGACAATAAAATTAACCTAAAAAGAAGGAAATTCTATAATCCAAAACCATGATAAATACATTTTAGAAAAGATGTATTACGTTGTAATATTTGAGTAATCTTCGTTATTTTATTCTCGTTATATTTTAACTTGACTTCTTGTTTGAAAATGCTGCTAGCAATGATAGCTCTTATGTTTTTTAATTTGCTGTTTCAATCGGTTTAATCTTATTCAAAATACAAAAGTAATTTATTTAAAAGAGATGCATGTATATTATATATTACATAATACTAAAGGTTTTATGTATTTTAAGCTAATTTTTATTCTTTGTTAAAATGATCCATTTTATTGTCAACTATTAGCCTAACATGAAATTGTGTTAGCTTGCTTAATAGCAAAGTTGATTGCATTATTCTTTTAGAATTCTGTGGGCTAAGGTCTGCAATTGATATTCATATTTTCATTTTTGTTCTGCAGTTGGTGAACATCAACTTACTAAACATAAAGTGGCTGTCAAAATACTTAATAGGCAGAAAATCAAAAGTCTTGATGTGGTGGGTAAAATCCGCCGTGAAATTCAAAATCTCAAGCTGTTTCGTCATCCTCATATCATTAAGTTGTAAGTAAATATTTATCTATTTAAGTTGGCAATACTAACATATCTTTTTGCAGTAGGTATTTGAGCCCAATGAAGATTTTAGTTGTAAAATGTTTTTTGGCTATATAATTTAGTTGAGTTAATTTAAATTGGCAAATTCTCTTGCAGAATAATGAACTTTCCTGAGAATAATATTATATTGCTTCATTATGTTATATTATGATGGTTCAGTTATATAAGATTATATAAATTAATTTTTGAGTTCTCTTTAAACTATTGAGAATTTGTCAGTGCCATTTTAGCCTGGCCTTTGTATTAATTCCTTTGCTGCCTTTGTCACGTTTAATTTTGTCAATGCTAGTCATCTGTAACTAGCAATAGTCTTTTTGTGAAACTATCCATAAAATTGTTAAAGACCAGTGTGATCCTTTTGACTTAGATGACTTAAAAGAGTGTTGTTTCCAATCGTTCTTCAATATTGCTCTTCATTAAAGCAGTGAATCAGGCTGCTTCTGATTGACTTACTTATACTTCTATAAGCATTTCATTGATTTGCACTTGCTCTGACTCAATGTTTTTGTTGCCATTAGGTTAGTAAACTGTGTGATGTTTGAATCTTGATGTATACCATCCTACGTTGACAATTTAATTTGAGTTGAAACTGTCTGTAGAACAGCAATGGATTTTTGTTCAAAATCATTATTGAAGAGTGTTTACATTTTGAAATCAAATATCTAGGAATATTTATGTATAGTAGACTTGTAATGTGAGATAATTGAAACAGATTCTTTCTGGGATATGAATATGCTTGGGAAAAGCAGAATTCATTTTGTAAAAGGTCTATAGAAATAATTATTATGGAGCGCAAGGTAAATGGAATGAGCATATGTACTGCAGTAGTAGAGACACAACTGAAAGTGTTTGTGGTGATGACAGATGACGAACTCAGTTTTATACAAGCAAATCTGATGATTATCAAATTCGGGAAATTCCAATATTCCTATATGAGTAGTAGCATCACCCTGCACAATACTTGCTGACTCACCACCCTTTCGACAACTAATTTCAATTCTATGTTCCATTTTTAAATTTATTATTTTGTTGTATTTTTAAAACTGCCTGGTTTAATCAGGACTTTCATTATTGTCAGTTTGCTGTGATATTTTTTACCCTTGAAATTATTTATTTTTTGGGAAATTTTCCCTTCTCATGTTGTGGTAAAATCAAAATTGTGGTTCTGTAACAATTAGTGAAATATATGGTTTCTTGGAAATAAAACAAAAATTATTTTTTTTTAAAAAAGCCTTGAAACATTTAACCTAGTTACTATGTATCTTCTACCTATACAGCAAGTGAGTACCTTGATTAAGTGTCACCACTATTTATGAATTTTTCATGGGATTGATTTTCCCATATAATATATGTTAATATTATCTCTTTTAAGTAGCCTCCTGGCCCTGTGGTCAGCAGTGAGGCACATTTCTTAGATAAATCTGGACTAGACTGACAATTTTCTGACATTTTGCAATTGTGGTCCACAATGCTATAAAAAGTAGAAGAGCAATATGTAGTCCATTGTATATTCTATGTCTTAATGCATCGAGGTGCAATGTCAGGTAACGGAAATCTGAGAGAGTTGCTTATTTTTCAAAGTGATTAATTTCTTTCAAATATCAATTAATGATTTTTATGCAGGCTATAAAATTGCCATAGGGTGAGAATTGCAACTTTGTGTACTTGGGAATCAAGACCATGAGTGGAAGGAAACAACCAGTGATGTGAAAAAGAAGAGTGCAGATATCAAGAATTGAATATTTTTTGTCTGAGTTATTTAAAGAACGTAATGTAAAAAGCTCTCAATATTGTGTACATTCAATGTAATTAAATTTTTTTAAAGAAGCGATGCATAATAACTTTATTAGAAAGAGTAAAATTTATCCAGAGACCCCCTTACCATATTCTCATAAACTCCATTAGTAGCCACCTGAAATAATAGCCACTTTTCTCTGGAACTGTGAGTGGCCACTCAAATTTCACTGTTACATAAGTTTTAAAGTATATCTTAGCATTCACTCTTCGTTTCAGTGGAACCTTTGTCACATTCCATTCTCCATAATTTTCATGGAGTGTTCAGAATGAATTGTAAAAATTTGTCTGTTAAGGGTGCTTCTCATTAATTAATTACTACTTCATATAGCATTCGTTAAATTCAAGAATACAAATTTTGTGCAAAAGCTTGAAATATACTGGAATAAAAAAGATTTCTGTGACAAGATTTCAGATGTACATTTTACTCTCAAATGTTTAGCTTGTATACTTTCCCTGGAAGTTTTATCAGTCCTCTTTTTCTGCCATCAGCCATCAAAATCCTTTCACAACAATTAACGTTTTCCAATTGACATAATTTTAGCCATCTGTCTGTTAATCCAGACTTATAGATCCCATTTTACCATGTATTTTTCAAACTTGGTTAGTTAGTGTGTAAAGATTTTAGCATTTTTATTGTTTTCCAACATTCAAGTGTAATTGATAATTGAAATAATTAATTTTTTATTCTATGAACAATCTGAATTTCTTTTGAAGTTTGATTACTAATGCATTGGTAAAGATTGAATTAAAAAGATGAAGTTCTGAATGAGTGCAATAGCTTTTTTACAAAACTATATGATGTCTTTTCAAAAAATCAATAAAGAAATTTTGTGTGGACTGAAATGGAATTGGTATAGAAATTCTTAGCAGGACATTTAACATTATAACTGAATGAATCATAACTATATATGGTTTTCATACTTGATATGTGCATGAAGATCTAAATAATTTACTAATTTAAGTAATTAAATTAAAAAGATTGGTACTTTATTTGTAAGAAATTAAATTAAACAAAAAAAATTTGTTCTAGATATCAAGTAATCAGTACTCCAACTGATATCTTCATGATAATGGAATATGTGTCTGGAGGTGAACTCTTTGATTACATAGTGAAACGAGGCAAGGTAAAAGATATAATGCTTTCATTGTGTACTATTTTTTGTAGAATTGTTCAAATTAGTTTCTGGCATATCTGTTTTAACTACTTTACTATTTACCCTTTGTTATACTTAAATTTCTGATTATAATATCAATTTTTTGGTGTTAGAACTTCAGAATTTTTTTAACTATCATCTGTGAAGTTTGATTACTTCAAATTTTCTATTGAATTACTGAGATTGATCTATGTTTTCGTGTCTTTGTACTTCAGTTCTTTGGTGATAGTTTATCAATATTAAGACTATTCGAAAACTAAATCTGCTCAAAGGAAATGTGTTCCGGCATGAAAACTGTTCAAAGGATTGTTTGTCTCGGTAGCTTAGTGGTTAGAGCAGATAGGCGTAAACCAGAAGGCCCAGGTTCGAATCCTGGTCGGGGCAACCAATTCTTTAAACAAATTTAATTATTAAAATGCATTTACTTAGTAACCATGTGCCTTGTGACCATGTGTGTGTCTCTACTGTTTGTTTTACTTAGTTACATGGTCACAATTTGGATTTCTGTATGATTGCGGAATATATTCCAACAATCCAACAAGGTGATGGGAATGGTGACAATTATATATAAAGACTATTTTTGTTTGAAACCGTAGTTTTATGTTGGATCTGAAAACATAAATACACTTAGTGAGAATTATACTGGTATTTAATGCTTCTTAATGGGGATAATAAAAATATATTCACATTTTGTATTTGTGTTATGGAGATCTCTTTAGTCTATATTGTTGCATTGTTTCACTTACAAAAAGGAAATTAAATTATCATCCATTTAGGGTTTGGCAGCTGGACCAGGCATGCTGTTCTGCTTTTTCTGGGTGCAATAAATGTAATCATTTTAAAAATTACATTTAAATGCAAAAAAATTTAACATTCAAAACAGTCTTTAGATCTACAAAAGTAAAGATG